TGCGTAATAAGGCGCTTTCTGTCCACAAAAGGCTATGATCATGCTCGCACTTCGCGGATTCTGACACTGCCAGCAAATTGCATTCTTCAGAGGTATATAGGTCCAAGCTCCACATCATCGGGTATGAGCAATGTTATGGAGAACCGTCTGGTTCACGAGGCCTCGCTACTCAGCAGCAAACAGCATATGGCCTCCTTAATAATAGATGAAGCTAGCATAAAACAAAAATGCAACTATGATAGGAAGGCTGATGCAGTATTGCGCCTCAAGGACAGGCCAGAGAGTAGCATGGCGAATAGAGCGAAAGGAGCCCTTGCGAACAGAGTCCTCTGCTTTTTTTTTTGTGCTGCATGGTATCACTAGTCGGTACAAGATTACATGCTCCTACTACTTCACGAAGCAACTGAGCAGTAGAGACCTTTTTGCATGGACGAAGGAGGTCATTGCTGCTGGTGCGCCCCGCCATGGTGGTCTAGTGGCTAAGGTAGTCGGCTGCTGACCCGCACGTCGCGGGATTGAATCGCGGCTGCGGCGGCTGCATTTCTGATGGAGGCGGAAATGTTGTAGGCCCATGTGCTGAGATTTGGGTGCACGTTAAAGAACCCCAGGTGGTAGAAATTTCCGGAGTCCTCCACTACGGCGTCTCTCATAATCATACCGTGGTTTTGGGACGTTAAACCCCACATATCAAATAATCAGTCATTGCTGCTGTGAAATAATGTGGCTTTATTATTATTCGCGTTGTCACGGACAATTATTCATCAAACATCTTTAAGCACATGGGTAACGGCAACCTCAACACAGTTCAACGTCATCCACACCACGCCAGCTGCGTTATCTTTCTGAGTTTTGACCCCTGCCACGTGCTCACAAACGTTAGTAACGAGGTCCTCGAACGTGAACTTACAGATGCCACATGAGTGATTAGTGATCCGTTTGTGCAGAAATTATACGAGTATCAAGAACACAACACTGTGAAGCTGGCCTGAAATTTGACGAGAAAAGATGTCTACCCTTCCTATTTGAAAAAAAATGAATATGCTGCGAGAAGTTGAAGTTTTCGCCCCTCAATTGTCTGCAGCCGTAGAGCACCTTCAGCAAAATTCTACGGGGGCTGCTAGAGATTTCAAGGAAGCAAGTTCCGCCGTTTTCTTCATGAAGTTCATGAAGAAATAGTTTGACATCTATGACACTTCATCCAATGGAAGTGACCACATTTTTAGGAGCAATAACAATCGCCTACTGTGGCGGAAGGATGTTTATCTCATATGTGGAAAAAATACAGCAGAGTTCCATCAGATGAGTCAGTGCTGGCTTCACCAACGAGACGTACAAGGCTTTGCTTTTTACAAGGTCGACGATGGAAACAACACAATTCCTCCAGGAAGAAGGCGTCAGTTATATCCTGACAAAGAACTTGAACAGTTACCCCATCGAAGCAATCTTCGGAATGGTGCGATCGATGTACGGAGGGAATGACAGGCTGGATGCTAGAGCTGTCACCGCTGCTCTGAACCACATCGTTAAGTTGCCCATCGCAAGACCGTAAGAAATCAAGTTATCAAATGTGGAATTTGAGGAAGAGGCTGCCATGATATCAAATATACTTGATAGGGGCCTGAGGTCTTTGTTGGAGTACGAGGCTGGTTCGTCTCCATCTATCACCTTCTCCGGCTTAGCATACCTCGGTGGTTACATCGCCAAGCTTATTACAGACCTCGGATGCGACTCTTGCGCTGCGCTTCCGACGACAAATAACAAGCTGCATCAGCTGTACAAGCTGCTGTGAGCACAAGTGAGGGGCGAACTACACTACCCGAGGCCGGAGTTTTTAACTTTTTGGACAAGATAGTGGTTTTTATAAGCCCCCGGAACACCTGCAACGCAGAAATGTGCTAGAAGTTTTGCAACCAGCAGTGTAGCCCGACTTGCAACGCGCTTCCATCTTAAGCTGCCCTGAAAGCGTTGACGACCACCACTCCAGATGATCTGCATATCTCATAGCTGAAAAATTCCTAAGGATTCTCCTCGTTAACCATACAAACCGACTGGCGCAAACGACAAGCCTTCCACCTACACACACAAGACGACTAGGGAGCATTTTAGGCTGTGAACAAGACATTCGTGAAGCCCGGCAAAGCATTTCACTTGAAATTGTTCAACTATTGCCAGTGCCTATGAGCAATAAATATTTATTTTCTGACTTCAAAACGTATACACGTTTGATTTCGGACAGCTGTACTTTGGACTCTTACGTTTACATAATCTTTAAGATATTTACGCTCGATGCGCCTAGCACAAATAAAAAGTAAAAACAAACCATTTATGTCTTCAATAATTAGGCAACTTGTTTTTCAACGCGCGGTGAGTAGAGGAGCACGCCCGAACTCATCTGTTCACGCGATGTACTCAATTAAATCTAATGTACTGAATTAGATCACATAAAAAAGTACTTTCCTTCAGTCTGAGAACAACTGCCACTCCATCCATCGATGCTTATAGGCAGTGAATGAGTTTTTAAAAATCTGTCATTGTTTCCGTTTTGAAATAAGAGTTTTAATGTCATACACACAGGCTACCCATCGCACGACCTCTCAAAAAGGTTGTTGCTGAGTTGACTACATAAGATAAAGCGCCAGCCTCCCTACCTTTGGCCTCAAATGCCTTGAAGAGGCAATGTGCTATGGTCTATTTATCACTTGTATGTATCATGATCACTTGTAACTCATTACACACCCATACATCCCATCACGCATCATTGCCATTACTTTACTGCCTATACACCGTTCTTATGCTTGTTTAGAGCGCGTGATTTAGGCCTCCTTACACCCATAACACACCCTGCCATCGCAAACATTCGTCACTGCCTACGAGCCTAAGAGACATGGCGCTCTTTGGTCACTCATGGCCCTTGCGCCACGAAATGTCACAAATCAAATATTTTAGAACATGTCTGTTTATTTTAGCCCTACTTTCAGCATTGCTAGCCTTCTTTTAGCTCTATGGTGACAACGTGAGTTTGAGTGTTACCATGCGACATGTGACACTAGCACGATGAGCCGGTCCCCGAAAGTGTTATCTTGAAAGTATCAGTGTGATAAAGCAAGCACAAACTAAAACGAAAGAAATCAGATTGAAAAGTTTGTTAGTATAGTATAAGAACTCGGCTGGTGCGACTGAATAATAATCGGTAATGGCTGGCACAGGTCCGTGGAAGCTGCAGATGTCTTGCAGTGACATGGTTCCTGTTTGCTTCACGGCATAATAATTCTTTACTCTCTAGGTACAGCTAGCATACAGACAGGTTCAACTCAGCTTTCCCTTAGGCCGCTTATAAGCCAAGGTTATAACTATAGTCAGTTACAACTTTAGAAGTCAGCAGCATTTCCTCCTCAAGTCCAGATGCACACAAGCAAAGCTGTACCAATGGGCACTTACTTCAGACTGACTTCATGAGCCACACGGCCGTTGACCCCGCCTGCCGAGAAGAGCGCGTCTATTTCCTTAGTCGCGGAGGTCGTGCTTCGGACGTCTGGGCGGGGCCTCCCCTGACTTCCTTAGTTATGTCCGACTATAGCAAGCAGTGAGAAAGAACTAGTCGGTATTCGGTTACGATATGCTCAGCTCACTGATGAAAACACACAGAGCTACGGCGCTAATCCTTGCCGCTCTTTTTGGATTCGTTTGTCTGTGCGCTAAATATGTCGTAATCTAATATTTTGGGGTAGGACACATATCTGTGATAAGAGGCGCGTAACGACCCAAACACGTGGAAGTTTTTGCTCGTGGTTCAGTGGGGCCATCTTAACTCGTATCATATCAGTTTCAGTTACTTAAATTAGCGTTTTGTCATACATCTCCAATGGTCGAAGCAAAACCCATCGCACTTCGAGAGGCTACCTCTGACACCTGAGACATTCTTTAAATCGAGTATAACGACGTAAAACGTACTTACTCGGAGGACTTGAATGCCGCACAGAAGGTTGTATGAGCGTGATAGCAGTCTACAAACAGAAAGATGCTCGACGAAAGCAGGATAAAAATCATTAGACAGTTGCTCAGTGAAATCTCTTAGAGTAATTTCAACACAGCACTGCGATAACTTGTAGAACTTAATGAGTGGTTTTCAACAGTGACACGCAAGAAGCTTTGGTTCACAGAGACGTTGATATTCCCGGATACAATCGCTAGACATGCCACTTAGTAAAACTTGTTGCACTAATTGGTACATGCTTACTGAAGCGCAATAAAGACGCGTAACCAACAAATACAGACTCAATAAAGACACCCTTTTTCTCTTAGGTCTCCTATATGCTCTTGTTAATGGCGTGTCTGTTTTTTTCTTTCAGTACATAACGGATGAGGGGTGTTCGTCTATAAGGGACGCTATCGACATTTAACGTCCGCTGGTGAAGCATGTAAAATGAAAAGTTGCCCGTAATTGATGTTTTGAGATTTGAACTGAACAATCGAAAAAAATTTAAATATACCTTGAAACCGGCGCTCGCTACAGCGACACAACCAGTTACAACCGCTGTATGCATATCACATTCAACAAGACATTACTTCACTTCATACACAACTGGCCAAACGGCGCACATTTATTAAACGTACACACAAAAAATATTACGCCTTAGGGCAAGTGTATGTAGCAATAAACAAAACCTGCGTAAAAGAACAGAGACACAAACACCTTGTATTCATTTACATACATGTACATATTTTTTGTTCCAAGTTCTCCGAAAACCATATGTGCTCCGGCGTTTGCTGTAAGCCTTACGGAAAATTCTTGCAAGACAATGTCAGTGTTAGAATCCTATAATCTTGCCCACATACTCGACTACCTTGGACTTCTGTGTCTGCGTAAACCGGACACACAGGTCATGTGTATCATTCCTTTTGTTTCTCGTTTTTTTTACTGTTTACAATCATTCGCACCGGTTTCTTCTCGCGCTTGTTTACATTATCACCGCGTCTTGAAGGCCCTTATCCGTATGCAGTTTCCATGGCGTCCGTGGTGATTCCGGTGATCATCGTTGCGCTGTCCTTCTTCTGCCTGCTGACACTGACAAGAAGTCCCCTGCGGAACGTAGTGCCCTCTACGGAGTCAGTTGCCTTCGTGCAGGTGTGAATTCATTATATAGACACCACTATGTCAGCACTATACGCTATAGATAACTGCAGGAACTGTCCCATTTGTCCTTCGCTGTACAGGTACCAACTATAAAAGCACAGTCTGGCACATTAATGCTCTGCAATGTTGCTTTAACAGCACCAGAGCCATGTTCCAGATACCCCAATGCTTAGCCAATGTGATGGTAAGTGATGACCACTTGGAGGAAAACAAAATTGGCCCCGTATCTGCTTGTTTCACTGCAAATGTCTTCGAAATACAATAGACTTGCGTGTGTGGAGAGTGAACAGAACGTTTATTTGATGTTCTGCGCGATAAACTTGGTGAATTGTATTCTGGTAGCACTGCGTTAGAGAGTCTTGATTCGTGCAGCGAAAGCGAACGAGCACATTGAGGCACGTTAGACACGAGCGCTATCTAGCAGTTAACTTCGAAAACGAAGGAAGGTGTGCGCGCCCACGGAGAAAGATGCATGCCTGTCTCGGAAGTGATAAGGCGTAGAACGCAAAGTGACGGGCAGGTACTACCACCGTGTCGACTGAGCCAAGGGTTTGAAACACTTGCCTTTTTGAGCATTGCGTTGCACTGTCAGCGCAGCGTGATAAATGCTACAGTCCTTAAAATTAGTTAGGTGTGCCTTCTCTAGTACAAAGCCACACATAAAAAATATCAACGTGTTGTTATGGTGCCTCAGATATGCGCAGTTATTGCTTTTGAATTGACAATTGCATAAGTATGAACGCTAAACCTTGACCAATATTGGTGGGCGCTGCGGATGGGGCCGGCCGTTTACAACATTGTTTAGTACCATTTAGGGTATCGTTAAGAGTCGACAAACAGACAACTGTACAAACAGACAGGCATAAACCGAAATTTTAGCGTCGACGGTCCCAAAGAAAAACTATTGTCTTTAAAAAAGAAAGGAAGAAGCATGACGTCACGACCCCGGCCGCGGTAAGCCAAGTCATTATAAAGCCAGCAGTGTCGGCCCAACATTTGACCTTTTGGGCAAAATCACGCGAGCAGCGAAACTTGCCGACAACTCGGGTTCTGGCTCACGGTAGCTTTTGAAGAGTGATTCTTCGGTGCATGCAGGAAGGTCAAGAACAAGTGGTCTAAAATGTACCGCGCACTCGACCTTTTGATCACGTGTTGGGCCAACACGGTGAACTTCACTCATGTGACGTAATGCTCCCATCTTTTTTTTCTCTACATGGTTGACTGGGAGGAGACCCTCGGTGGATTTCACGTCTGATGATTGTCCCGTCCTCAATGCTTCGACGACGGCGGGCCGATCAGGGCCCCGTCCGTGAGCTTCTATAACCGATCCAATCTTTACGTCTTTCTCTATCTCTTTTAATACCACCTTTTCCCTTCCCTTGTGAACCCCTGCTAATGTGTCCCACATTGCTGGAGACAGTTGCGTGGTTCACTTTTTTGTTGTCTCATTTAAAACCACTCCTCAAAGTGATCTCAGGTGACTGAGATGATTCTGTGGCATTGTTAGTGTCGTTTCTCAAATGAGCTTTGTCGACTTCAGTGAGGTAGAAATACGGGTGGTTTTCCCCTATAAATGGCCCTCGGTTTCGGGGTACATCAGGCACTCCCCTGATACGACTTATAGACGAAGATCTATAGAAGAGAACCCATACCAAATTAAATTATTTGTACATTTGATCTTATATTTGCCAACTTCGTCCTACGTACTCACTGACCCTACGCGTAACCTTATGCTTCACAGCAGGGTACACTGGATTTCGGCTTGAATATTTCTGTGCTTGTTCTGCGCATCACAAAATTGTTAGTCTCAGCTCAAGTTTGCGAATCTGTTTGAACACTTACATTACTGCAGGACAGCAAGAGAGAGGACATCACTCTGCGTCCATTCAACTGGGTCTACCACAGCACCGACCGCAGCTTGTCGTCTCGCGAACTTGTCGTTCATGGCAGGAGGCCGCAGTCCACGCACGACGACAGCATTCGCTATCCCCCGCCAAGGCAAGTGCGCTGAGAGCTTAAAATTTTAGCCAGTTTATTTGTATATTGCTATTCATAACGCTCGTACATTAGCTTCATGTCTGTCCGCCGCTGTGGAGCAGTAGTTAAATTTGCTTGGCTGCTGATCACCCGAAGGTCGCGGGTTCAATATCGGCTGTGGAGGTCACATTTTGATGGAGGCGAAATGGCAGATGCTGTCACTATTCCCTGATAAGGTGTTTATTGGCGGACACTCGGCGATGATGCACGACAGTGACAGTCAATGCGGGGACCCACCAGAAGGCAACCCAACAGAAGCAACCCACCAGAAGGCACTGGAGAGGACGACCCACTGTTCGAAGGCTTCGCCACAACTACCCCGGGTACGAAAAGGGAGCCGCCTGGTGACCTAACAGCTGGTTACTATGAGCGGTTCATGGTAGGCCTTGAGGTGATCCACGTTGACAATGTCGCGCCCTCGACGGCGCATGTCCGAAGATGGTTCGATGGATTCGATCAACTAGTTTACAAGGGAAGTGCGTTCGACGACACAGTAGGGGCCTTCGTATTTCGGCAATAGTTTTGAAGATAGGCCCGTGGCAGTGGTACGGATCGAGAGCCAGACGAGCGCTCCAGAGAGGAACGTGGACGCAATGGTGCTGGCGTCAGCGCGAATGCTTTTTTGCCGCTCTTGATCATGCGCAGTAAAGGTCTTTGAGCTCTCGACACTCTTCAGCAAGCTTGGCTGTAGCAGAAATAGGTGCGCACTCAGACGAATCTGGCTTGTACGGAAGTATCGTGTCGATGCTGTGCGACGGGTGCCTTTCATATAATAAAGAAGGTGAAAAGCCAGTAGTGCTCTGAGGGGCGGCATTATATACGTAGGTGACGAAGGGTAGAATGGCATCCAAATTTGTGTGATCAGCGGTGACTTACTTGGAGAGCATGTCGCTGTGCGTACAGTTGATGCGTTCGGTGAGGCCCTTCGTCTGCGGGTGGTAAGCAGCAGTTTTGCGGTGAACAACGTTGCACTCTTTGATAATGGCTTTGACGACTTCAGACACAAAGATGCGGCCTCGATCACTGAGCAGTACCAGCCGACGTTTAGTGGAAGTGGCTCATACAAATCGATACCATCACGCCCAAACGGCCTGGCAGGTAAAGCTTGCAGACTTACCGGCGACAGGTGCGTTGAAGTTTTGCGGCGCTGACAATCTATGCAGGCGCGAACGAATTTCTGCACGTAGTGGTACATGCCGCGCCGAAAGTACCGTTGGAGAACGCGGTGGTAAGTCTTCGATACCCCGGTGTGCGCACATTGCGGATCAGAATGAAAGAATTCGCATATGTCAGAGCGCAGACTATGGGGTATGACTAGTAGCCACTGGAGGCCGTCACCGTTGTAATTGCGTCGGTGGAGGAGGTCGTCGCGAACGGCGAAATGTTGAGCTTGACGATGCAACGCGCGAGTGTATGAAGCAGTCAGCAAGTCTATTAGCGAGGCAAGCCATTGATCCTTGCGCTGTTCAGTAGCAATGGTATGAATGCTAATGGAAGAAATGGCAAGGTGAGAGGCCGAGTTGTGGGCATTGTCGGCAGGCAAGGCAGAGCGTGACAGAGCGTCGGTGTCAGCATGTTGCCTTTCGTTGCGGTACAGCACGCCGATGTCGTAGTCGTGCAGGCGAAGTGCCCACCGTGCAAGACGGCCTGAGGGATCTTCCAATGACGACAGCCAGCATAGTGCGTGATGGTCGGCGACGACATCAAATGGGCGACCCTACAAATAAGTTCGGAACTTTGTAAGGGCCCAGACGATTGCCAGACATTCTTTCTCAGCGACGGCGTAATTAGTCTCGTGTTTTTTAAGCTTGCATAGCCACGACATATTCCGTGAACCCTGGTTTACGCTGCGCAGACAGCGCCGAGGCTAGCAGCACTGGCGTTCGTGTGTACCCTGTAGGGGTCGTAGGGTTGTAGTGGCGGAGTATGGGAAGCAGCGTCAACAAACAACGGAGCGTTGTGAAAGCGTCGTCGCACTGTGATGACCACGAATGGAGAGGCCTGTTGTTTCCGAGTAGCTTCGTCAGCGGCGATATGATAGTCACAAAGTTTCGAATGAAGCGCCGAAAGTAGGAACACAGTCCTACGAAACTGCGCAGTTCCTTGACGGAGGTCGGCTTGAGGAACTCGGTCACGGCCCGAAGCTTGGCTGGATCAGGAAGACGGCGTAGCCGAGTATTGTCAGCTGCCGAGCTGCGATTCGGCACTTTTTTAGGTTCAGTTGCAGACTGGCGTCACTCAGACGCGTTAAAACATGCCGCAGGCGTTGAAGATGCGTTGATAAGTCCGTAGCAAAAACGATGATGTCATCGAGGTAGCACAGGCACGTGCGGCATTTTAGGTCACGCAGAACGGTATCCATCATGCTCTCAAAGAAGAAAGTAATCGGCTAAGTTGGCACAGCCCAAACGCCATGATGTTGAATTTGTGCAAACCATCGGAGGTGACAAAAGCGGTCTTCGATCGAGCGTCCTCAGCCATAGGTACTTGCCAGTACTCTGAGCGCAAATCGGGGGACGAACAAAATTCTGCTCCTTGCAGGCTGTCAATCGCGTCATCTACCCGTGGTAGTGGGTACACGTCCTTACGAGTGATCTTGTTGAGGTGTCGGTAATCCACATAGAACCGTCCTTCGCGACTAGAACGACATGAGACGTCCAGGGGCTGTTAGAGGGTCGAATAACATCGCGGCGAAGCATGTCGTCGACTTGCTCGTTGATTGCACGGCGTTCTGAGGGAGATAAGCGATATGGACGTTGCCACAGTGGTGGTTGTGCGCCTGTGTTTTTGCGATGCGTAACGGTGGATGTGTGGCCGAGAAAAGGTTGAGCGACATCGAAAGAAGAGCGGAATTCTTCCAACAGGCCCAGAAGCTGGCAACGTTGGCCCGGCGTAAGGTTGTCGGGAATGAAGGGACCGAATACAACACCGGATGATGAAGCAGATGTATAAACAGCACTGAGCGTACTGGAACTTGGGCAGTGCGTGTCATTGGGTTAATCCATAACTTGTGCATCTTCAATGGGTTTCACGCTGCCGAGACATTCCCCTCTCACCAACGTAACACTGTACGGGGATGAGTTCAAAACAAAAATAGTGGTGTTGCCGTGAGTGACTTGCATGGTCACGAAAGGAACCAGCAAGCCTTTTTTGATGAAAACATGATGGTGAGAGGAGTGCAATGGTGTCGGGAGGACTTGCGCAATAGACCTACACTGCCACGGACGAGTTTGCAGGCACTTGCGCGTCGTGTCTGGCGAGTAACTTACTTGCAGCAGATGGACTGTTGGCCGGCGTCAAAGAAGAGAGTTGTGTGAGCTCTATTTATGCTGGTGCGTAAGGAATAAAGGCATCGTTGCGGGAGAGAAAATTCAATCCTAGGATGACGTTGTGAGAGCATGAAGAAATTATGAATTCACAGCATACATCACGTCCTAAATCATGAGGCGGGCTGTGCACATCGCTGTAGGGTGAATGCTTTGGACGCTGGCTGTATGGAGGGAGAGCCCGGAAAGTGGCGTGGTCAGTTTGTGCAGTAATCGGCTACGTTTTGCGTCCATGACGGATTCGGCGCCTCCAGTATCTACAAAAGCAGGTGCACGAACACCATCCACAAGCACGTCTGTCACGTTCGATGGGCTTTCCTGAGGGCATCCGCAATTCGACAGTTTCGCAGCCCTTGCTTCGTGGACTGCGACGACTAGTTTTCCTGGTCACCCTCGAGTGGACGTGACCGCATCGGCGACTATAAGCGACGTCGCGGAGATGGTGAACGGCGGGTAGATGGACCGGGACGGGACGACGATGACACAGGCGGTGGTTGGTCATAAGAGTGGCTCGATTGGCTGGGAAAATTGGAGGCGACCTGCGGTTACTGCACACGATTGCAATAGCATGCTACAAACGCAACCACAAGCAAAGCAGATGGGCCATTTGTCAGAAGTGCGCCATCAGTTCGCGGGTTCCATCCATGTCGCAGAACGCGATGGGCGAGCCACCTGCTAATATGAGTGCATGATGGGTGGCACTCGGGGCACGTAGATGACGTCGTCGTATGTAGGCGGCACAGTTTCTTTGAAGGCCTGGGGCCTGGCGATGGTTTTGGTGTAACTAAGGGGGCCAGCCACAGAAATCGGTGGGGCTGGCCTGGCGACAACTTGGGCGTAGCTGAGTGGCGCAGATACAGGAGGCGGCTGGTAGTATTCAGGAACAACCTCCGTGATTTCCTGCTGAATGTCTCGGCGGAGGGGACGCAGAAGTGTACTCGGCAGCTGTTTTGCGGGGAAGCAAATGCTAGTAAAGAGACCTGGCGGGCAACTTTCTCACGCACGAATGACTTGATTTCGGCGAACAAGGTTGTGTGGTCAGGAACTGCTAAAAAGGCCGAGAGATCAGCGTTACGTGATGGCGGTCGACGGGTCATCAAGCACTGCCACCGCAGCTCGTCATAACTTTGGCACAGTGTAACGACCTCGGCCACAGTGCGAGGGTTCTTGGCCAGGAGCATGGTGAAGACATCGTAGGCGGTACCTTTTAGGACATGCGTGATTTTGTGAGCTTCTGACATGTTCGCAACCACTTTCTTGCACAAGTCAAGGATGTCCTCGATGTAACTTGTGAAAGACTCGCCGGTCTGCTGTGCTCGTTCACGTAAACGCTGTTCGGCTTGCAGCTTACGAATGGCAGGATGGCTGAACACGTCGACGACGGTGGTTTTAAAAGCGGACCAAGTCGAAAAATCAGACGCCTGGTTATTGTACTACATGCCGGCCACAACCGCGAGGTAGAAAATCTTGTTGCCGAGTGTACCTGCCTCGTCATAATGATTGGGGATGCTCACGCGTTCGTATATTGCGAGCCAGTCCTCGACGTCGGTGCCATCCGCGCCGGTGAAGACAGGAGGGTCGCGGATGCGAGGGACACCGGGACATGGCGTCGGCGCAGAAGGAAGCGTTTGCTGA